ACAGAATGTAGAGAGTCTAAGCTTTATAACGAGGTATAACATGCCCACGTGAAATATCGGCTATCGGCCTAAAGTTGCCCATATCAGCCGATAATATCGGCCAACCGATATATCGGTCGGGCTCTAATTAAAACCAATTGCAAATCTTAACGCAATCGCTATGCTTGTCAGAAAAATCACAATTCGAAATTGTACAGCTCTAATATCTTGACAATAATTCCATCTACCAAATATTACACATTTAGAGCAGTTGTCTCTTGTAATTTTAAGCCCATAGTCTGTCTATTCTGAGTCTTGAATCTTTCCAGTATTGGTTGCATGGTCCAAAGCTTGAGCCTTTTGCAGACTGGAGCTGGGCTGAGCCATTGAAATGCTGATTGTAGACTGGGAAACCCTGAGTGCTCGTAGGGCCTCTTCCCCGGCGCATGTGGGTGGTGCACTGTTAATGTAGCCAGACTCTTCTCTCAGTCTGCAAAGGAGGACAATATGTTTTCAATGTTTTCATCTTTAAAACTGATGAGATTACTAATACTATTTTGGAGAAAAGTTCAGGAATTTTAAGCAGTTTGCAGTGGTCCAAAAAGTGATTTCCTTGTGCATTCTCAGCATCCAAATTATTCATTGTTTTCATAACTGCTTTTCACAACTCTGAGAAACCAGAGTAGAGTTTTGCCGTGACTGTAAAGCTAACAACAACAACTCGTATGCTAATGTGCACTTCCTGATTATCAGACAATAACATTCTTTATATAATTATCTGCTTATACAAAATGTCTGTACTGGGGCGAGACACAGTTTGTTCAGGCCCAGTTTTAAGTGCAACAAAGAAAGGAGTGTCTATAAACAAATATACACAAACACAAAAATAATATAACTCCCTGAATCCACAATACAGGTGATGCCTCATTATTATTACTACGTTGTTATTATTTTAGTAGAAAAAGTCGCAAGCAATCCTCCTGAAAACATCTCTGATATTGTTGCTCATAGGAAAGGATGTCATGTGGTCTGAGTTAGTTCTGCATTCAAAGATGGTTACACTACCTGCCAAGTCATGTAGTATTGATATAAGACAGAAACCTGACTGAACCAATAGAAGTAAATGAGTAAACCAGGACTCGGCCTCGATTTGACCAAGACCAAATGTGGAGGACTAAATTGAGACTAATTTATTTGTTCAGTACAATATCCGGAAAATAGTTTCCTCTCATAAAATAAATTGAAACCTGGAACTGTAAAAGACCCCACCATGCAACCACTATATTTGTTCCTACAGTATTTTGGTTTCTGGTCAGTAAAACTTCCTTTGCCCCCTGCTCTTTGCCTTGCTGTGAGCTTCATTAGCCATTCGTGTAGTGTCCTGGGGGCCCCGCAGTCAAACAAAAGCACCAAATCTCCCCATCCAGGACTTTTGGAGAGAAGCACCTCTTATGGACGAATGTGTCTGTCAGGAGACGTGTTCCCAATCTGAGCCTGGTCACTGGAGTAACACAGAGCATGACCAATGTGATTACATCCGAGGATACTGTTTAAGTAGCTAAACGTCAGCATGCAAAAACTAGGAAATCTTCAGTTGTGTGGTGTCTAGTCCAAGGCCTGTGAACTAACTTTACTCACACATTTTGAGCGTGTTACTATGAGACAGCTAATGACGACAAGACCAGACAGGTACAAGACTCGTCCGAGCACGACTTGCAATATGAGGTCAAGTTATCTACAGGAAGCATCAGTGACATTAAAGGAACTGTATAGAGGCTGTAGGCTGTAGACTGTGCTCTTACTGTTTTAACAAATGTCTTACAATCACAAATGAACCTTCACCTACAGAGTACAGTTTCTCAATATTTAGACAGGCCCTGCCTTAAGGGGAAGCTCAGAACCATCAACATTTAGAGTGACAACCCAAATGAGAGAATCAGTTAATGGGTTTGAGAACTAAAACACCAGACTAGAAACAACTTGACCAATGTTTTTGTAATTAACAACTGTAATATATGTAATTTGAACATGTTTCCCTGTCATATCTGGGGGCACAGATTGGCCAAGTTTAACAAATTTAAAATCAAAATCTTAGTTTCTTTATGTTCAGTTCAGTTCAGTTCCTTACGTTACGAGTTGCGTTGGTAATATTTATAAAAATCCCTCTCTCTGTCACTTTGAGTACACATGATTCATAGTAAACGTAATACTAAACTTTTCTTTTGTTGTACTTGGCCTCACTATACATTCAGTTCAGTTCACTCCAGTCCTATTTTGGTACCTGTGCATGCTTTGTAACAGTAGCCAGTAGGTGTTTGTTTTTAGCCTCACAGCTTGCACAATGCTGTGTCTTTTGAAACGCACTGTGTCCTTGTATTGATTTAGTTGCCGTTCAGGAACAAGATGTTGAAAGGAAAACAGTGGCAGTCTGCTACTGCTTCCTGTTTCACTCCATTAGTGATACTCCGGGGGAAGACGCTCATATCAAGTGTGTTCATATGACAAAAAAACATTAGGGCTGCTCGATTTGGGAAAATATCTAATTGCATTTTTAAAATTTATTTATTTTTTTTGTCGCATCCAGGAGAATTGACTAAAATATGAACTGACAAACTAATACAAGAATAATATTTCAGAGCATGTTTTTACTTTTAAGGCAGGATATTTTGTTGTTTGTGATGGAAGTTATACTTAAAAATTTGTCTTGCAGGCAAATTGCAATTTCGATTCAGTCACAATTAATCTTGCAGCCCTAGAAGACACAAAATGAGTGACCAGATATAAGATTTACAAACTTGCATGCATCAATTGAAATGCAATTTTGGGAAAGCTAATGATGAAGGAACGCCATTATAACACGATTAACAGTTCATAAATGTCAATGTGACATAATATTACACTGATGGATTGGGGCTAGGATAATGATTTTATATCACACAGATGGTGCAACTGTTTCTTCCTGCCTCATGATCTGGATTCTTGGTGCTTGTGGAAAGTCCCATCACATCCCCACTGAACATCAGCTTTCCTCCTCTGTCAGTTTAGAAAGAGTAGCTTCACTGTGTGTTCTTCATCCTATGCTGAGATGCCATAAGTCAAATTTTAATGTTTTAGTTTACAGTAAACCTCAGCCCATCGGAACCATGATCCTTCTGACCTAAACTCAAGATCCTTCAAAAATAATTACAAGAATAGAATAGAAAATGTACCGTGAACACACCTTAACAGATGAGATACCAGTAACTTGAAGGCGGTAGTTTTCTTTTGCTTTTTGTTTTATTGTGATAGAAATATCTGCAAATCTTGAATCTAAATAAATTACTGATAGCGCAACACTAAAATTTCAAACTCACTTTCGATACTAAGGAATAGACTCTGTACTTAATACAAATTATGATACCATGATGATAATTAAAAACATTATTTATTTAGACAATAAGATGTAATTTTCATTCATCCAGGAAGGTCCTAGTCTATGTAGTTTTATACTTATCCTGATACAGGTCAAAGATCGTTCTAAAAGCTATTCAAAGGTTAATTTCTGTCCTCTGTGACATTTTTTGTATTGATAC